TTCTGATCTAATCTTCTAGTAGCTATACCTCACCAGTGATGGATTTACATATCACATCAAGTCATTGTTCATTTTAACTACCATCCTCAGTAAATTCCAACAGAAGGATTCACATTTTGCACTTAGCCATAACTATGGTGATGACTTCATAAAGCTCAACGGCGGGATTCAAGCACATGCTAAGCTAGATTTAAATGAATATTGAGATGCTGTCTATTATCTTTTACAATTAGTTAAGTACTGAAACACTTTTATTTCTTTTTGAGAAAAACTTTGATAAGCCAATTATTTCTCTATGGGGCAGCTGACATCTGTGCTTTGTTTTATTGCAGCAAACCTGTCTAGTTCTGAGTTTGTCAATTCTAATGCCCTCATAGGAATATCAAATACAATATGTTTCATCAGACCATAGGCCAAACTGATTAGATAAACTGTTGAAATCTATATTTTTCACTTTTGGAATGTATTTCAAACCTTTTTATGACTGCAGCCTCACCAAAAAAGAAAGAAAAAAAGGACTGTCCGTTAGAAAAATGGCCAAAGTTGAACAATATATTTTTTTTAAGTGTAACTCTATTCTTACTTTTATAAGTCCTATAATTTCTATATATTTCTAAGCAAGTAATTGAGCAACCTGCTCAAGTGAGTCCTATATCATTGGTTGGCTCTTACCATGTAAGTGTTAAAGTTTCAGGTTTCTTGGTATTATATTCCAGGAACAGCAGTTCTGAGCAAAATTTGGATTCTCCAAATTAATATGAGTTTTAATATTTTGGGTAATTTTTTTACTTGTAAGAGCTTACTTAATGCAAAAGCCCCGTGAGTGGGATAATAAGAAGAGTTATGCTGGACCACATTGCACAGATGAGTAGAAACAATTTATTTATTTGTGGGAAATCTCCCTCCCCTTTCTTGTTCTATATCTTCAAATCAGTTTTGGCTCCTAATGACTACATAGCACTTTTGATTAAGATTGTGCAGTGTTATGGAGCACCTGCTCACAATGCTTCAAAGCAGTTGTATATTCCCCCAAATGGATTGGTAATTGCAGAATAACCACAACCCCCAAAAGAATGTGCTTATTTTAAAGAGCAGCAGACAGACATCATATTCATATCCAAAGAACTGCATAGCTTTAGTTTTTAACTATTTTAAGTATATTAAGTGTAACTTCACCACTATTTTGACATCACTTAATTTTGTTTCCAATATTGAAGGAAACTTCAGAGGATGCAAAATATGTTTTACTGTTAAATACAGTCTATGAGATTCAACCCAGTTCATAACTTATTTCTTTCTTTCTTTCTTTCTTTCTTTCTTTCTTTCTTTCTTTCTTTCTTTCTTTCTTTTCTCTCTCTCTCTCTCTCTCTCTCTCTCTCTCTCTCTCTCTTTCTTTTTTTTTTTGCAGTTACCCTAAACCATCAATCATTATGCAAGAATCAATAACCCTAAATGGTTATTTACTGGTATGTTGCCAATACTGAAGGACTTTTCTCTTTCTGTAACTTTTAAGCTCTTGATGCTGCTTAAATTCTTATGAATTATTTATAAGTTCATCTTTGTGAATTGTATTTTTATGCTGTTTTTACTATTGTTGTCTTGTCTAGATTATTATTTTAATTCTGTTAGATCTTGCAAGTGCTTTGGGTGCTTTCCTGCAAAGGGGAAGAGTGGAATAAAAGAAAAATAATTGTGCAGAAAACATGCAACTTTCTTTTATTTGATAGAGTTTAGAGAGGCCATCAGATACAATCTCCAATTCTCCCTTTTATCCTGTATTTTAGCCAATGCTAGCAGACCATTTGATACACAAATCCAAATATAAATGGAGTAACTGGATAAAAAATCAACTGAGTTCTATTAAAGATTTATCCTATCTTAAAATCTTTTGGTCACTTGGGAAAAAAGATACCACTAAATCCAGCAGAGTATATGTTCAAGTGTTTGCATTTCTGGCTAAAATCTGTGTCATAAGCTCATCAACATATGTATTACATTTATATCACAACTTTTTTTCAACAGTTCAACATGGCATATAAAGTTCTTCCTTTGATCCTTATAGCCACCCTGTGAAGTAGGCTGGCATAAGAGAAAAGAGATTTTCTAAAGTACACTGAGAGCTTTGAAGCAGGGTTTTCTCCAGTTCTAGCATAATACGAAGAACCATAACCTTAAACTGACATGTGGAATATTGTAAATGCAAGTTCATGTAAACCTGGGCTTTGAGAAATATATTAAGGGGTGAGAAAGTTGGAACAGTAAATCTAAAAGCATTTATGCTGACTTTCTAAGATAGTTCCATGGAATAACAGAGATATCAGATGAAGAAATTTTTCTTATGACTGCTATAAAATGTATTTGGGGGTCCATTTTAATTTTGCCATGATTAATTAATTATTATTTATTCAGCTAAACATTGTTTTGTTTATACTTTCAGGTGGAATCAAAATATTCTGCAGAGATCACCAGCTTTCAGCTAGCTTCACTTTTGCTTCAGAATATGCTCCAATATGAAAAAAATATCATCAAACACAATCCAAAGACTATTCTGTATATATTTTTTCTTTATTGATATGTCCAATATCAAATATTCACAGGGAAAATTATACTTTTTGGAGAACAACATGAAGGAGACAGATGGTTACAAAATGTGTAGGAAAAATTCTCAAAATCCCTTACTCATAGAACAGAGAGTGGTTTTAAGAGTGATAGCATCTAGGTCAGATTAACCAATGCAGTATGTCTAGGTCAGGGGTAGGCAACCTTGGCTCTTTTATGACTCGTGGACTTCAACTCCCAGAATTCCCTCATAAAAGAGCCAAGGTTGCCTACCTCTGGTCTAGGTCAAGCAGCAACCACTAGAATTCTCTTGAGATTATGTGTAAATATCTTCTATTAGCTATCAGTTCTTTCTAGTTTCTATAACATAGGACAAGGACAAGGGGTCTATTGTTTTATGACTACTGGTCACTTAACCCAAAATTGTCTTTAATAACTGGGAATGTTTATAGACATGGTTAAGGGGGGAAACAAGCAAGAGGGAAAATACAAAATTACACATGAAGACATATTCCACAAGTGCTATTAATATATACTTGCTTTGCTTGCCAGGAGTAATTATCTTGACCCTAGATGCATCATGCATCTGTTGTCATTTTGGTATCACTGTGTTTACTACAGTTGCCACTGGTTCCTGGTTTTAGGCAGGAGTCTTCCATTCATTGTCCACAACTCTAGCTCTGTCTGGAAATGCTAAGGACTGAACTTAATCTTTTATATGAAAAATATGAACTGTTTCTTGAAGAATGGTTCTTCCTATTTTCATTCAGAAAGTATAAAGTGTTGCCTTATGATTTCATTCTAGGCAGTAAGTCTATTCAGACTCATTCAGATGCAAGATTGAAAAATAAAAGATATTCTATACAGCAAATCATACCACAGGGTTACATGATTTACAAGGCCTATGGTGGCCTGGAATTGTGGGAAATGCAGAATTCAATATATTCTAGATTGCAGAAGTCTGAGAGGTCCATCTGACATAAGGCAGAACATTTTTCATATAAAGATAACTGAACCTTGGGTTAAGTGAACAAATCTTATTCTGTGTTTCACTGCAGATGTTGGATCATTAACATAGGACTTTCCATCCTTAATTGTTGTTGTTGTTAATTGCGAAGTCATGTCCGACCCATCGCGACCCCATGGACAACGTTCCTCCAGGTCCATCCTTAATATCACCCCCTTAATAAAATATGGTGAGGGAAATCAAGGCCAACATAGAAGAGTTAGGCAATGTATGTTCAGCCTCTCTCCCCATGTTTAAAAATATTGACTCACAATGTAGATATAAATATATTCCAGAAAGAATCAGAGGTATATTTGTCTTTATATTGTAAAATAGCTCCAGTAATCTTAGCTCCCAGAAACTGCTTTTCTACAAGGCAGACTGTAAGATTCTGTTTCTAGCAGTTCCTCTTCCTTCAAATTAATCATCTCCCAAAAGCTTCTCTGAAAAGCCTTCATTGTAATGTTACCTGTTATTTCATTTGATGCTATCCCCTGAAAAACTATGCTTTTAACCAGGAATGCTTTCTGGAGATAGGAAGTACAGAAACTTTTATTGGCCTTAGATGGTAGTAGATATACTTGAGTGGAGTTTTTCAGGTGGGCCAAGAGAACAAAGTGTAATTACTTTTTTAGAAGCATGATATGGAGAAAAATGTTACATATGTTTGCAACAACTTTTTCCTTGCTGTATCTGCCTGGAATATACTTTTTCCATTTTTAAATCCATTTATGATATTTTACAAAGAGACATAGAGAAAAGAAAACTGGAGAAAAGAATTTGCACTTGCAAAACCGCATTACATAATAGTATGGCATCTTACAAAATCTATCCAAGCCAGGTTGCTTGGCAGGAGTCCCACCAATCAGCTGGCCTTAGATGGTCACCCAAAATTAGCCAATGGTTAATTTCACTAGTGAACTATGATTTACTTTGTATCAGTTTCATCTGAACTCAACACCATTCAAACTTCAACTGCTATGATCCATTTCACAGAAATTTCACGGGCTACTGATTTATCTAAAATGTTACAACTTAAAAAACAAAAAACAAAGACAGCTTAGGTACTACACAAATTAAGTGCCTTCCCAATAAACTTTGGGCCTCCAAACACCAAACACCCCAGCAGCTCCAGCGGCAACTATCTTATCCTGAAGCTTCTATATAAATGCAGCACCATGACTTTTTCTTCTTTTTTTTACTTCCAAGCAGAACAGATCAAAGTAGCCCGCGAAAAGGAAACAGCGCTCAAATGCACAGACGGAATTAAGAACAAGACGAGTGGGGGGCAGGGAAAGGAAGGCATCCTAGTTTTTAAAGTCTCTTAAATCGAATCCATCTGGCAAGCCCACTCCAGGGTATAGACGTATGCGCGCGCACACACGCAGGCAAACATACATACACGAGGAGGAAGGGGGGAAATATTATTATTTACCTTGGAGATTTTGGACTCTGATGTCGCTAATCTGTCCGATCAGCTCCTCCCGCTGAAACCAGTCCCATTCGCTCCCAGCCATGAAGGATCAGGTAGACGTGGGGATGGCTTAACACCGCGGCTGCAAAAGCGGGGAACCTTTCAACGCACTTCAACTCCGCCCTCCCCCAAACAAAACCCAAACTGATCTTCGAAAGGAGAGAGAGGGAGAGAATGAGAAAGAAAGGGAAGGGGGGAAAAAAGCACGCGGGGAGGGGGAGGAACAGCTTACCAAGAAGGGAAGAGGGGAAGGGAGAAGAGCTGGACGGAGAGGAGGGGGGCCGAGCCAGAGCCACCGGTCGCCCGCGAGGTAGATCAGAGCGCCCCGTCTCTTAGGCTTCACTTACGCGAACCCGAAAGGGGAGGCGGGGAGGGAGAGAGGCAGAGCGCGCAGGTGAAAGGTGGGGCGCTTGAAAGCAGATCCAGAGGCCCCCTCCCTCCCCACCCTCACCCCGGGTGGGCTCAAGTTTTTAAAGGGCGGCGATGAGAATTCCTGAGATTTCTAAGCTGCATCCTGGGATGTTTCTCCCTGGCGTGACGCAGCCGCAAGTTTGGCTAGAGTCGGGGCTGAGGCACCACGCACGCAGCTTCAGGTTAATGTTTACTGGAAAGCAGGACGCGTGAAGCTCACTCCGGGCGCCCATTCACGCGCCTCGCTGCGCTCCAAGCCGCGCCTCGCCTCGCCGTGTTCCCGCCCCTTTTCGGCAAGCCGGAAAAAAAAAATGAGCCGGATTAATCATTTTTCGATCGCCAATTGGTGAGGGGGGTGGGACAATGCAAAGGAGGAGGGGAGGAGAGCTGCAAAAGGATCAACAGAGATTCCGGTACCCGGCAGGAGCCTCCTATTGTTGGACAGCGGCCGCGTCCGTTCAAAGAAAGGAAAAATAAAATGTAGCTTTGTTTTCTGTCTCGGGGACTTCAAGCCACGTGTGGTGGCGGAGAAGAAGAAAAACAAGCGCGGGCGGAAGATCAAAACCTCCCAAGCTGCAAAAGAGAGGGGCAGAGGCGGAGGAAAAACATTTATTCATCTCTAAACCGCAGATTCTGCGAGCATTCAGGACTTGAGCAGGAGCGGATAAACGGGATTCTTTTTTTCTGATTCTACCTCCTGGATTTAACACAGAACAATGAAAAATAATATTTATCGTTGCCTGACTGTCTCTGTCTGTCTGTCTGTCTCTCTCTCTCTCTCATATACACACAAAACACAAACATACACATCTGGTCCTTATTTTTCCCTAAACATCTTTCATATTTTCTAGCACTTTTATTTACCACTTTATTTATTTACCAGTTGTCATTGATGATCACAGGACACACTTATAGTTAATAATACGGTTTAGCAAAATAATTTAATTTTCTGCGTTCAGATGAAACACTGAGTATAGGTTTACCAAATGAATGGGTTTGCTAGTGAAAGACTGAGTATCCCTGGATTTTTGCTGTCTAACAGAGTCAATAGTTTTGACATTTAAATGAAATGCTTTATGGATGCCAGGTGCTTTAAGGCACAAAGAATTCCCCTCTAAATTAATTTAGGGCTACCAATTTAGGACTGCAAACAATCTCGATGACTATGAGATGGTAGCAAAAATTATTTGTCTAATCATTTTAGTCCAGACTAGTAGCTCTATTTTGATTTGGAGATCTTTCCCTTGTTTGTTATCAAAAGGAATGCACCATTGTAAATTACTTTAAGAAGTCCATAACCTCTTCTCTAACTTTGATGCAAATAGTAATCTCCTGGAGATGCTTTCATTTATGCATCACGCAAAGGCTTTAACACAGTAGCCTATACATTTTCTTTATAATTCTGTGCATTGGGAATTTGAGAATTTGAGAATCTACAAACTGTGCAGAGAAGAGCAAAAAAGACGATTAGGGGACTGGAGGCTAAAACATGAACAATTGCTAAAACATAAATGATCTCTAGTTTAATGAAAAGAAGGATCAGAGGAGCTATAATAGCAGTGTTCCAATATCTCAGGGGTTGACACAAAAAAGAGGAGGATCAATCTGTTTTCCAAAGCAACTGAAGGTAGAACAAAAAGCAATGGATGGAAACTAATCAAGGAGAGAACCAACCTAGAAATATGGCGAACTTTCCTCATAGAATAATTAATCAATGGAAAAGTTTACCTTCAAGTTGTGGGTGCTCTATCACTGGAGGTTTTTAAGATTTTTAAGAACAACCACTTGTTTGAAATGGTATAGAGTGTGGAGGTTGGACTAGAAGACCTCCAAGGTTCCTTCCAATTCTGTTATTCTGTTGTTAGTCTGTTATTCTGATTACATTCACATTCTTTTGCTTCAGATAACAAAAGGGGAGACAATTCATATTTCTTAGAATCCAAAAGGTAACAGTTTGTTAGTGTGCAAATTTTCTTCCAAATTTAGCACTACCCTTATTATTTGTGTTACAAAGCAAAATAACTAGAATTCTTCATGGGCACTGATTCAAAAGTACATGGTAACACATTCCTCTTAGGCTGGTTAGAAGAAGTAAATTCTGAATTTGACCTGAAATTATTACTTTTGGTCTTCCTATCCTGAGAAGAAGCAAAATTAGTGAAAAGTGGAAGCTTCAAACATCTATATTTGATTAAAACATGCATACAGGGACACAGGACACAGATGATTCTGAGCTAGAAGGATTGATGGTCAGTTTCAGCATATGATTTGTCTGATTACTAAATAAGCCATGGTTTACAAATGACAAAGATTGGTTTCACTCCACCCATTAAACCAAACGAGCTAAAACAAGAAACAGAAAACATGATGGTATCCTTGCACCCAACCATCAAGTTCCACTTCTATTCATCTCATCTATGTAGATTATTATTATTTTTTTTGCTAAAATTAGGATTGACCAGGGAATAGCATATACATATCTTTTGGCTGAATAAATTGTTTCCTTTATTTAACATGTTGGGCTTTAGATTCAAGTGTCTGATCATTCAAGCAAACTGCTAACCTTTCTACAAAAGCTTCAGATTATTTGCTGTCTTAACATTTATCTCCAGTTTCATGCAGCAGAGGAAGATGGCAAAGATCCTTGCAACAGTCTGTTCTGATATATTTATCATAAATACAATCAATCCAACATAGTGGTTGAAACAGAAGGAAAAGTCAAGTGCTGAGAAGATTATAAAGACTTTTTAATCATGAGGTAGTGGAGAGAACATTTTTTCCCATTTGTTTTCAGCCAAAATATTTATGGAAGAAGATATGACATGAGGAATGGGGGAAAAAAAGTTCTGAGCACTATTCAATAAATAATGCACAATAATGATTGAAATAAATATTTAATTGAGTAGTCTGTAACTTTTCTATCTTGTGAGTATGCTTAATTCATGTCCCAGTGCAATAAAAATCTGTGACCTAAAATCTTCTAAGACTAAAATCTTCTGTGTTTACTGTGTGTAATATTGCAGCCATGTTATTCTAGGTAGAAGTTATTCATTTACTACCATATAAATAAAATACAAAGGAATAATCAGCTAAGAGTCTTTGGAATGAGAAATACTGACCTGCATGTATCATATTAAGTGATAATATAGTTTTCTGGCACAAGAAATGGACAGTTGTTGCTTATAATGTAGATAAGTGGTTTTCAACCTGTGGGTCGGGACCCCATTTGGGGTCGAACGACCATTTCACGGGGGTCGCCAAACAACACAGTCTGCCATTTTTTCCCCCTTTTCCTTAGCTGTGCTACTCCCTTTTATTCTATTGGCTTTTGAAAGCCAATAGAATAGACTCTCTTGAATAGAGTCTAATTCTATTGGCTTTCAAAAGCCAATAGGAATTGTCCAGGCTGTCTCTGCCCTGCTGAGCCCGCCAAAAGTCCCATTCTGCAAACGGTGCTGCACCAGTTGAGTAGTCCTCGACTTACGACCGGTTGAGTAGTCCTCGACGTACAACTGGTTGGGGTCGCGGCATTAAAAAGGTTGAGAACCACTGATGTAGATTGTCAGAACCAGTATGTGGTTATTTCCTGAACTAATATTGTGTGGCTATCAAGATCTGCACATCAGGTTTTTGCAAACTGATATAACCCATAGGTCAAAAGTAACATTTCTAGAGTTTGCAGCCAACGTAAATTTGGAGGATTGGTATATATATTCTGAATGATGAATCATTCTTATAAACACTCATAGAATGAACTGATGAACAAATGAATAAAATAACACTTGTCACAACATGAATGACTAAATGTGGTGCTGACATGGAATCACTATCTAAAAGAAACCCACCAATGACCTTGGTTATTAGGCGTATAAGTTACTTGGATTCTATATGGATTTTTTGTTCTATGCCCCCTCTCCCTCCTATGTGCTCAGACTTATTAGTTTAGCAACTGTTACTGTCAGTAACGTGTACTGGATAGATGTAAAGGGAGGTTAAACTTGACGTATTTGTAAAGCCAACATTTACTGAAGGTGCTGGCCAATCATGGCATGCTTTGACACAGAGATATCATGTCCATTTCAATGAATATTATGGATTTACATCTGATTTTACATAATATGTTCTTTGTGTACTTGATTGTGTATAGGCTATTTGGCTAACCTGGAAATTATTCTGGGCATTAGAAAAAAAATATAGAACTATTTAAATAGGGATTTTGCAGGAGTCTGTTAAAGATCTGGGCTGCATTCCAAAAGAGAAGAGGTATCTAACAAAAATAGAAAAAAACTTCCTGGACTTTTAATTTGACTGGGATTAAATCCTATATGCATACAATCTACACAGAGAGAGAGAGAGAGAGAGAGAAACAGACAGAAGTTTTAGTGTAATCCTAGCGCATCCTCTAAATTGAACAAGAATTTATAGAAATTAGTGGGAAATTTCTAAGTTTTCTTTTATTTTAGGGCTGGGGAAAAGAGAATGTAAGTCAGCGTGACAAGTTATGAGCCAGCCCACATATTTCTGACTCATTTGCTGATGTTTATTCAATTGTTTCCTATGAATAACAAGGCCACAAAGCAGTTTAATGACTTGTGAATTATTGTGAAAGGATAAATTATCCCAAAAAGCAAGTTAAAATTCATAAAAATAATGAACTACATAAAAATAAAAATAAAATTCCTTTTTACGCCCACTGTGCGAATTGGATAGCCAATCTTCACCGCTAAAAGAACATTAATCCATATTAAGACATGTCATGAAGCTATGATGCAGTTGGTAGCATTTGAGGGAGGAAAAATTCCTTAATAGTGAGAGGCTATGCTTGTACAATGGTAAGTTTCTCCTCTTCTCTCTCCTCTCCTCTCCTTGGTAAATTACCCCAGTCATCTGGGTAATGTACAACAAGGCATAAAGACAAAAGAGTAACTGATATAAATAAATAAAGCATAACACAAATAATACTGGTGTTTAAGAAGAGCATTGAAACTTGTTCTAGCAGACTTTGGTGCTGAGATGTTTTGATGGTATTCCTTCAGGTTTTGAAATATTTGTCAGATTGATGTTCTCTTATTTCTATAATGCAGATGTACTTTGATTTTTATTTTGTTATTTCTTACAGAATAGAACAGAACAGAATAGAGCTGGAAGGGACCTTGGAGGTCTTCTAGTTCAGCCCCCTGCTCAAGCAGGAGAACCTATATCATCTCAGACAGGTGGATGTCCAGTCTCATCTTAAAAATTTCTAGTGAAGGAGCGCCCATGATTTCTGGGGGTAAGCTGTTCCACTGGTTTATTGTCTGTCAGGAAATTTCTCCTTAGTTCCAGGT